TTATTATCTTTCAAATTCTAATAAATAAACTAATAAAACAAAATGTTACAAATAAAGCGCAGCACATGCAAAGAATGCAATGACTGTGGCAACTTTAACATTTGAAGGAATACTATGGCATAGTAATCGCTTTCCATATTCAAACTGATTTTTTTTCATGAATATATTGTTGACCTGAAGAATGAAAACTATATCATACACTTGGAAAATTATGAGCATTATCACGCTCATAGACACTAGGGGTGTGACAATACACTTAGCTCACAAGGTGAGACAAAATACATATACTTGGTTCACTAGAACGAGACAATGTTTTAATACTTTAAGAAATGTTCAAATGACAAAATATTTGTCTTTTAATCGCAAAAATTAAAATAATGCAGTTGTATTTTGAAATGTTTTAACTAATCTAGGGCTTAACTATTATTTTGCTAAACAAGTAATCTACTTATTGTAATACAAATAGAAGTGAAAAACAGACTTTAATATGACTATATTTATATATAAAGTAACAATGAGGTAATAATAATTGGCCTCAAATAAAGTATCAAAACCAAGTAAATGGTTTTATTGAACAACACTGTTAAATACATAATGTAATATGCCTATATTATAACAAATACCTGTAGAGGGCGCCAATGGCCTGGTGATGTTTCATGTGATTCAAGACTTTTAAATCCATTTAATTTTAATATTTGGCCACATGCAAAGTCAGAAACTTTTATTTTGAAATCGCGATGTACAATAAATTGCATATTTAGAAATATGTTGATGTATTCTACATTACAAATCAAGTGAGTTTTCCCAGATGAATGTTAAGCAACCCAAACTCGCCACATATGCAGAGGAAGAGTTTAGCCCATTTTATACATGATCTCTTAACGGTAATTTACCAGTAAAGACTATGTGTGAACAGGACCTCTTCAAAAATACAGGTAAATGCATTCTGGCAATCATATCGTTCTTATGGAGATGACATGATTACTCTGAGCTGTTTACAAAGCTCCGCTGCTTTTTTAATAGCTTGTCTATGTAAATATGACGCTAGATGGAAATCTTTGACCATTGCGCCTCGCAGCTTTTTCAATGTGTCGCGCTCGAGACCCAGACTTCTTTTCCATTCATCAGCTGCGAATCTGCAATTGGATACTATTATGTGCGTCTCATGTTTATAAGAGCAAAAACTTCTGATTGGCTAGCAAATGTTAGTTTGGTTGAGAGTGAAAGCTGTGTATCAACAAGTGTTTTTAAATGTAGGCCGACTATCTTTTTTTTCCCGCAGCCAAACGCCGCATGCCGGAGATCCGGCACGGTGCCGGAGAACTTTAAGCCCTGAATTTATGCAGGTAAACAAAAGAGGACCGTTAAAACCTCCTGCAGCCAGTTTGTGCCGCTATGACTGTGATCCACAACTAATGTTGTAAAATAGAGAGGGAATTAATGTATCCTGTTTGATACATTACAATAATAGGGTTAAAATTGACAACAGCCCAAACTATTAAAGGGGTTCTAATATGCCCTTTTTTCCAGATGTAATAGAAGTCTCAGGTGTCCCCAGAATGTATATGAAGTTTAAACACAAAATACCTCACAAATCAATTATTATTACATTCTGTAAATGCCCGTCTTTGGATGGAATCAAAAACACACTGTTTTTGTGTGTATTCTATTTAGATGCAAGTGAGCTGCAGTTCCTCGCCTCCTTTCCAGAAGAGGGCTGTGCCATTACAGCTTATCCCTCGGATACTGCGGCAACAACGAACAATCCGGTGTATATATACGGTTTTCTGAGCACACTCACAAAGTGCGCAGACACAAAGCCAGAAGTCCCTTTCAATATAGGACTCTTAACATCTTGTGTCAGAGAGCTGACACAATGCTACTTTTCTTCTAGAAATACTGAAGCATGTAGCAAATGCTGTTCAAGCATGCAAATTTGGGGTGGCACCTACTGTGAAGTGGTGATCTTCCTTCTATCAAAACCTGAAATGCTCCAGGTTCTCATTTCTCATTATACTCATTGACTCAGTATAAAGCAGACCACCCTCATGGTATGAGCGAACGCAGGTTTCTCATGCTGAATGATCTGGATGACTTTCTGATCATGGATCATTCAGAGTGTATGTCAGGGTTTCTGCATGATTTTTAAGCTCAAATTTAAGACCTGCACAAATAAAATTAATACCATATGAGCGGGGTAGGGCAATGTCTATAGTACCAAATTAAACTGTAAAATTACTGTAAAAAGCATAACTTACAGTTATGTATGAGGCCGTACAAGCCATAATTCATTTTGGCACTCACACACTTACATTATCCTTTCACATACATATATTTTTGCTTTCACACGCTTACATTCTCCATTCACATACATGCATTTGTACTCTCACACACATACATTCTCCTTTCACATGCATACATTTCTACTGTCACACACTTTCATTCTCCTTTCACATACATACAACATACATTTCACACACTTACATTCTCCATTCACATACATACATTTGTACTCTCACACACATACATTTTCCATTCTCATACATACATTTCTACTCTCTCACACACATACATTCTCCTTACACATACATACATTTCTACTCTCTCACACACACACACTTACGTTCTCCTTACACATGCATACATTTCTGCTTCCACACACATACATTCTCCTTTCACATACATACATTTCTACATTTTTTGGTATCCATTACTTACTGTTTAAGCAGGAAGTCACTCTCAGACCAGGAAATACATGTGCAAGACTTGCTCAGCTCTTCCTCACAATTTTACAATGATACTGTTCAAAGTCATCCTGTTTTCTTTTTAAGTACATATTTTAAGTTTTTCATTTTAAAATATCATTATGTAACCCACGTGTTCTACAGATCTGTGTACAAGTGTTATGATACTGATTTTGATCATATTGACAGGGCTCAACGCTAAGGAAATTTTCTACTGGCCCGGTTTGGCCAGTGGTTTCAATGTTTTACTTGCCCTGGCAAAATTTTCACAGGCCTACACTGTAAAAAATAAGTTTAATTTTAACTGTAAAATTTTGTAAAAACGCTACGGGACAAAACTGTTAATAGGTTAACAGTAAGTTCCCGTACTATATACAGGGAAACCTGTAAAATATCTAACCAGACATTTCATGTAATTTTACAGTAAAATGCTGTTAATTTTACAGTTTTTAGAAGTAAAAATAACAAATCAATGTATAATTTACAGTCAAAAATTGTAAACTGATATTCCCAGAATTCCCTGCATGACACTCCACATTTGAAAGTATTTTGTTTAAATAATCATGTTTTTGTAATAGTTTTTGTTATTAGTTATGTATATTTGGGCTTTATGTTACATCTTCTGTTGTTTAATGAAAGTTTAATGCATTATTTAAGTATCGTGTGTTACCAAGATGGTGTTTTGTGTTTGCATGAATGACTCTGTGCACCTTAATTATATGTCAGCACTATGTCTGTAGGCTACTTTCTGTACTGGAAGCTCCTGACACCAAGACGAATTCCTTGTGTGTGTAAACACACTTGGCAATAAAGCTCTTTCTGATTCTGATGAAAATGCAAATTAAATCTCTGAAAGCAGGTGGCGCTTATAGAACAGTAGCAATATAGCGTTTCCTGGGTAATTACTGTACGCAGCGCTGCGCTTATTGACACTCCTTTAATATGTATTTAACGAAGGTAAGAGGAAAAAGAAAATGCCATCGAAACTTTTCTGAAGAAAAGGCAGCACCCGCAGCAGTTTCGGCACAGGCCCAGGTGCAGGTCATCCCCACAGGCACCGCCACAACCGCACAGGTGGTGCAACAGAAGCTCCTCCAGCAGCAGGTTGTTACGGCAGCAGCAGCCTCCCCTCAAATCCAGACCCCGCCGCCACACAGCCTGGCCCAGGGTTCAGTTCTCCTCCGAAATACATCCATATTAACCCCCACCCTAATTCCATAATTATGATTTTCTTTCAGTATTTCGAGCATTGCAAACAATTAATTTGTTCTGTCTGGTACAGTATTTTCTCTGCTTGCACGACTATTCTTTCCTTTTTGTGTCTGTCTTCAGTGCATCTGTCTTAAAGATAATATATAATGATGATCACTACGTTTGTGTTACCGAATTGCATCCTGTCAGGAATAACCTGCCCGCGCTGTTTTTAACCTGGTCATTTTTGATTACTGTCAGTTATGCTGGCGTTGCCAGATACAAAACAATCTAAAAATTGTTTTTAGACAAAACAATCTAAAAATAAATGAACCTGATAATATTTAAAAAAAAAAATCCAAATAGCTTGCTGAAATACTTATTCTCCACCTCATCTACGTCAGCCATGCTGAT